TCAAGCTTTTTCGACATGGTTTCACGTTTCCCATGAGGCTCACCCGTTATTCGTTGCGCAACGCCTGATACAGGCCACCTCCAGGCACATGCATGGAGGCGACGCCTTCAAATCTCTCCTTGACAATAGCTCATCACATATTATGGGGCGTAGGAACGGAGCAGACCTGGATTCAACGTTCTGCGGCAGCTAACCGAAGCCACGCTTCCGGTTCGGGCGCTAGCGCGGTGCTGGATAGATTGACAGGTGCTTGGCATCAATCCACAGACCCGGGTTTCATGTCGTTGGCGCTGTCAGGATTCTGTCAGTGAGGCACTAATCTTGTCATGGCGCAACTGTGCCGTGTAGGCGGAGGGAGTATAAGAGATACAGAGGCCATCGATGTTGAAAGGGCATCAAGCTTGACGCTGACACTCACTTTCACACGCTCTTTAGCATTACACTCACTTTCGATCCATTCGTCTATCATTCATTCGTTTCCATTCTATCTTTGAAGATACGCTCAACCTTTTCAAATCCAACCAACCAACCAACCAACCAACACACCAACCGCAAACATGTTCACCAAGACTGCTATCATCCTGGCTGCTGCCAACCTCGCCGCTGCGCACACCACCTTCCAGAGCTTCGTCATTGACGGCAAGGACCAGGGCCAGCACTTCGCTGTCCAGACTCCTTCCAACGGCAACAACCCCATCCTCGATGTCACCTCCACTGCCATGATCTGCAACGGTGGCAAGGCCACCTCCGACCAGGTCGAGGTTGCCGCTGGCTCCAAGCTCGGCATGCAATGGCACCACAACGACCCCGCCTCCGCCGGTGACGGTGACGACCCGATCGCTCCCTCCCACAAGGGACCCGTCATGGTCTACATCGCCAAGGCCGACACCAACGGCGAGGGCGCCGTCTGGACCAAGATCTACGAGGACGGTCTCACTGGCTCAAAGTGGGGTGTTGACAACCTCATCTCCTCCAAGGGACTCTTGGAGATTGACCTCCCCAACCTCGAGGCTGGTGACTACCTCATCCGCCCCGAGATGATTGGTCTCCACGAGGCCAGCGCCGAGGGCAAGGCCCAGTTCTACAACGGCTGCGGTCAAATCAAGGTCACTGGCAGCGGCTCTGCTGCTCTCCCTGCCACTGGCGTCGACATGACCAAGGCTTACAAGGCCACCGACCCCGGTGTCATGTTCAACATCTACGGTGGTGCCACCGACTACACCGTCCCCGGTCCCAAGGTCTGGGACGCCGCCACCGCTGGCAGCGCTCCCTCCACCCCTTCCAAGCCCGTTGAGTCGGCTGCCCCCTCCACCCCCGCCTCCAGCGCCGCTCCTTCCGCCACTCCCTCCCCCGTCGAGTCGGCCAAGCCCGCCGCTCCCTCTGCCACCAAGCCCGCTGCCACCCCCGCTCCTTCCACCGGCAGCGGCTCTGCTCTCCCCGAGACCTTCACCATTGAGCAGTTCATCCAGTGGCTCAAGACCGCCACCGGCACCTCTTCCAAGGCTCGCCGCCACGCCCGCGCTTTCAACTTGTAAGCGCTTTCTCACAAACGGTCGCAAGTTCGATCTTTCTTGCATGAACTGGTGTTCATGGTTGGTCCTTTTTGAGACGTTATCTTCTTTGATGGGAAACCCCCATACTCTTTCTTCCATAGACCGCGAGATCGGCTAGCTCTTCTTTTGATGTAAATATAGCATTCACGACGAATGGAATTCGAAAAGTCTTTGTACTATTCTTGCTTGCTTGACCTGTGCGCCTTGTGACTGAGTGGTGTTATGAAATGTTAGTAATATGGAGGGCGAAATAAATGCCTCGGACGCCTACAAGAAATCCACGTCTTCTAGATCATACTCCATAAAGCGATTAGAAGTCTACACCGTCTTGTATACGTTTTGCCACCTAGGGAGCAAGAGCAACGTATGCAGTAACACGCATGTACCAGTATAATCTCGTGTCTTAAAAAGGGTATTGCAGTTATCACAGTACGCTCAACCGCGTCCATCCGCCTAATCTCTACCTAATGTAGCCTTCTCCCTGGCCTGTATGAAGAAGTCGTTGTCGATATCCTTCATGATCTTCAGAGCCTGTTCTACCCGTGATCCACGACCGCAGATAGTAGTCACGACAAGTTTCAGAAGCATGATGACTTGAAGCCCAATATCGTGTAATATATACTCTGGTGTGTTACGATCACTTTCACGCAGGCGCTCGTCGCAACTGTTACACAGAAAAGGGTTTCTTTGAGCACTTACACTCTGGAGATCTGTTCGCTACACGTAATATAGTGAACCTGGGCAGCCTATGCAACTCTACACCCTTGATCTCCAACTGGCCAATTAGTTACGGCTAGAACATGGACACGCATAACAGCCCCATCCCAGTCGTTGCTCTGACCCCAAGCTTACCACCAAGCTCACCATCCTCATCCTCATCCTCATCTGTCAGCATCTCACCGAACGCCTCTCCGCAGAACAAGCGCAAACGCGACCCTGACCCAAATGCCAAAGTAGTGGCTTTACAGCAAAGGCGAGACGCAAAAGTTAATCTTGGTGCTAGCGGTGGTGTGCCAACGGGTTGGAAGTGTGGGCATTGCGGTACAGTGCAGGATGCGGGTAGTGTGAAGTGTGTGACCTGGTTCTGGACTGAGGGCGTGTGCGGACATGAGTATTGTGGGAGGGGGGAGTGCTGTGGGCTGGTCATTTGATGGAGCGAGGATGGGGATGCTGGTGTCGTGGAGCGAGGCAATGGAAGTCATGAGCATGGTGGCGTAAAGCGGCCCCAGAGACTAATAGTGTGATTCATGCAACAGTGCTTGTAAGTTCTGCCTCATTTGCGTCAATGCAATACATTGTACAGGCAGCTTCAAGCACGTTAAACTCCACATCATTCGCCCTCATTTAAGGACAAACACATCCTTGCTAATCGAGACGGACTTTCCCGGCACTGAATTGACAAAGAACTCTGTAACTTACGCGTTGCAGGCGTAAGAGCTTCCAGAAATGAAGACATGCCATATGTGTCCAAGATGCAAACATACCCAGAAAATGTCATGAGACCATCGACAAGAAGTAAAACCAGCGCTATGATGGAACTCCGATTCCATGCAAGATGTGATTAGATCTGAAATAAAAGAAACATGCTTAAACCACAGTTCGTACTATACACGTAATGAATTGTCATATGCAAACTTCATTCCCATCGAAGGAGCTGAAGAAGATGGGGATTTGGACACATCAAGATTTGTCATGTGAGTCTGAGACTGAAGCTGCGACTGAGGCTGCGACTGAAGCTGCGACTGAGGCTGCGACTGAGGCTGCGACTGAGGCTGCAACTGAGGCTGCGACTGAGGCTGCGACTGAGGCTGCGATTGAGGCTGCGCTTGAGGCTGCGATTGAGAACCACCAACATCAGGATCGTCAACGGACCGTACGTGCGAGTCGCCATCAGATATAGGCCTATATTTAGTCCGAGAGAGTGCTGGACCAGGGGCAAGGTGTCGATGTGCCTTCCGATAGTGCTTTAACCGTGCATCTTGTCTTTTGAACGATTTTAGACAGCTCGGTTCTTCGCAATCGTATTCCCGACCATCTTTGTCCTGACGCGAACCATGTTTAAGTCGTCGATGTCTCGCAAGGCTCCCCGTGGCATATGTGCCCTGAAATGTGGCTCTACAGCCACGTTCAGGACAATTTAGCCTCGATTCGTCTTGACCGCTGGGCTCCGGCGTCATAGTCCAGGCGTAAGGAGAGCTGATTCTGATGGAAGAGGTAGAGGATTCTGGAAGAAGTGAAGCCCTTCTAGAACTGGAAGCCTGGGCATATCCTGCCGGTGCTAGATATACTGAATCGCTGCGAAGTGGGGAGTTGAGATACCCACCACTGGGTGCCGCATCAAAAAGACCAATATCTGCATCCCAAGACATCGACTCTTCGGTATATTGACCGGTGCTTTGATTGAGATTGTTGTCTTGAGGGGGTGTCAAAACGAAGTCAAAGCAGGGCCGATGTTGTAATGAAGATTTTTCAGGACGTCGGTGAAGGATGTCTCGTGCGTGTTCGTCGAGATCCATAGAGTCGCCATACATCTCGCGTTGCATTTCTTGTCGGCATGTCGATGGTTGTGTGGCCTGCTGTCCTGAGAATTGCCATCGAAGCATAGATGGGCCGGGTAAATAACGCGCTTGTTTTTCAATACTACGTAACGATTTTTCGCGTTCTTCTGGGCTCAGTAGATAACTCGATTCGGGTAGAGTGGTATTGGGAAGGTCGGCCATGAGCGTGTCGGTATCCAGAGATGTCTGTGAGATTGGGCAGACTTCATTGAGCTACTGAGGTCGGTCAGAGTGCAATTTCATCGATTCTGTAAGGTACTTACGTTCTCACGTGCCGTAGAAGACTTTTGAGAATGTTTACTAATCTGTAATTGACGGGAACGCTCCGGAGCTGCTTCATCTCGATCCTGAGTTGGCTCAGAACGTTGAGGAAGAAGGACTGAATCACTCATCGGCGGTACTGGGCGTATCAGTGAAGAGTCGTTTCCAGCTGTGGTACGTGTTGTTGTCTCTCCTAGGTTTCCTTGTTGGAGGATGTAGGCCATGACCTTAGAACATAAGATATCGTATTGTTCTTGCTGTCCCGCATCTCCCTTACGTTGTGCTTTTGGGTGATCGCATTTGAGGCCATCTGCTCCATGGAATGTATTGAATTCATGCTCGTCGAGTATGTCCTCATTACAAGTCTTGCAAAGCCGGAGGAAAGATAGGTGTGGCGGTTGTCCCCTGGGTAACTTGCGGGTCATGTGCGTCCGACCTGCAGAGACTGTGCTTACTGGGGCTGCTGTACATGTGTACGGCAACCCTAGTTTTGACTGAGCTTCCCGGAAAGCACAGGCGAAGCTTCGCTTGGATCTCTGAACCTCTTCGGCCATGGCAGGAGTGATTGATGATAGCTTTGGTGACTGGAAAGCCTTGTACATGGCCTCTAGGGGCTTTAGAGTTGTTGTTAGGCGTTGCGCTGGCTGATCATGCCCTGGTGATGCTTGTTGATCTCCATACGGGGGCCATGGGGATTTAGAGTCGTCTTTGCGTCGCTGTGGTGCACGGCATCAGTGATCATGACTTGTATGCGTGACTTCGGCTTGCGTACCTTGTGTGAGAAGCCTGAAGGTGGCGACGAGGAAATAGCTCTCTTAGTAGCTCCGGATTGCGTGAGGGAATGCGAGAGTCCACCAAGGCTCGCAGGGAATTCGTTTACCCAAGCTTGTTCAAGCACCGTGTCTCGATACGGCTCAAAATCTTCCAAGAAACCAGGGTGGTCGAAATCGAATGGTTCCGAGTACGCATCAAACTCAGCTTTTGTTGCAAAAAGATCGTGCTGGGAGTCTGAGAGATGGATGTCTTGGCACAAGGCTGGATCTGTTGGCACGTGTGCAGCCTCCGACAGGGGACTGTGGCTATCGGAAGAAACAGCAACTTCTAGTTGCGGCGATGAGAGTCCTCCACGGGTGGATGAAATAATGGGTCGCGAGGAAGGACCGTCAGGCGGAGGAGTGGCCATAGTGTCCACGAAAAAAGGAGGACGAGGAGGACGAGGAGGACAAGAGGAGGACACTGCACAAGATCGGGAAGGTGGGCTTCACGGCTCTATATCGGTCAGTGACAGACACTCACCGTAATCCAAGTGATCCTGAGCCGCCTCGCTTGCAGGTGTACGCAGTTAGGCATCTCTGCATCTCTGCAAGTCCTCAGCTCCTCAGATCGACAAGTTCTTCGAAAGCCACAAATTGAGGACCACTGAGAGACTGAGACGGTGTAGAGAGTGGTCAAGTTCGATTGTCATTGGGCCGTGTTACGGCCAGCTGACCGCATCTGAGTTGGCAGACCGAAGCCAGGCTGAAAATGCAGGACAAAGTGGCCAATGACAAGCTTCATTCATTTGGACGCCCGCATGAGTTGTGGAGATGAACAGTTGCATACATGAGGACCGACGCAACCAAAACAACTGCCGGGGCTCAGTATACTCGTAAATGTCATACGTCGGCCGAAGGTTGGCTATAGCAATGTTCGCATTCTGGGAGCGGATGGTGGTATCCAAAAGGCAAGACAGCAGTGACGTGAAGAAGTGAGATGATTGAGGGGGTATCAAAAGGGAACAACATGCTCAATAACAATACACACGCGCTTCAAGCCCACACGCCCAGAGTCCAACTGGCCCTCTCACCACCTTTGTTAGACAGACCCGGGCCCATGCTCTGCCTCTGCGCGATGACAGAAACCTCTTTCTCTCTTGTAGCTCCCTGTAGACCATCTTTGAGATACTTCTCGCGCTCCACTTCAACAATACCCTTGATGCGCTGCTGTGCTATCAGGCTCGCACCTGCCCACGGGCCCAATGTGTCCACAACCCTGATCGTGCCACCTATCAGGCTGGCAGGCGGCGGGCCGTGACGTATTGCCATCTGGGCGAACTTAGTATCGATAGGGTCTTCGGTGGGTGATTGAAGCGCTGCGGGTACAGGGGCGGGCTCCGCATCGGTATCGAGTGATGATGGGAAAGTATCTTCGCCTTCTTGTCGGCGCGTCTCCACGTCTTCCTTCTGGTTGCGCATCTTCTCTTCGCGACGTGCGCTTGCTCTGCCGTAGCTCTTTACTGGATCCCACCCCTTCAGTTGTACCAGAGCGTCCAGCTCTTTCTGTATGCGCGTCTTGAGGCCGGGGAGGTTTGACACGCCGCCTGTTATAACGATGCGCGACATGCATAGTCGGCGGACGTCTATGGGGAGTTGGACGAGAGCGCGGTATATGAGGTGATGTAGTGGGAGGTCTTCGTCATCGAACTCGTGCATGGCCAACTCGGGCGCAAAGAGAGCGTTCTCAGTGGGCTTGGCTAATGATGCGAATGGTAGCGTGAGTTCGGTAGGAGGTGTGTGCTTCGGAAAAGGTATGGTGACGGTAGGCGGCGGTGATTCGATAGCGTCTTCAAACTCCTCCAGTACAGGAGCTTCTCGCGCGGGAAAGTATACGGTTCGTCGATTCGATCGGGGGACGGGCTTGCACCATCCGACACGTGTAAGGACTTCCTCTGCTTCTTCGAAAGACACGTCTGCCTTGGTAGCGCTCGGCTCAGCGTCGTCGAGTTCGGCGTTCAGCAGCTTGGCCATCTCTTCGCTCAGCAGCTTGCCTGCCCGAACACTGCGTCTTTCAGAGACCTCGCGGTATTCGCATACTGCAGTCACAAGTGTTTCTGCCCAGCCTATATCCACGACCAGCGCCGAGCGTAGTCCTGCGGCCACTGTCGACAGCACCGGTGTTGACATGAGGGTAATGCTCGGGGCCTGGAAGCTTGTGAACAGCACGTCGAGAATGGTCGACATGAGTGCATGCGGCATACGCGGCGGCATCGCAAGCAGTACCCGCCGTGGTTTCGTGTCCAGCAGAAAGTATTTGCCGTATGCCTCCCTCATAGCCCGCTCAAACTTGTCTTCCACCAGGCCCATGTCAACCTTGCTCAGATCCATACGGTAGAGCTCATATTCTTGACCCCAATCCTGGTCTCGCTTCCGCTTTCTTCTCTTCTGTGAATACTCGGGATCCCATTGCCGGTAGTCGCCCACCCTCCGCTGGTCGTCGGGCCCGAACGGGAGGGTGCATCGCGGGGCACTTTCGCCGGGAAAGCCGCCGCGTACGAATCGCGAGCCGACTTCTATCACGACGTACTCGTCTTCGGTGCGGAAGGAGCCACCGGGCGAGCCGAAGGTGGACGAGATGGAGCGTAGGAGCGGTGTCCGCGGTGACTCTCCCAGATCGGCGAGGCGTGGAGTCGCGCCCCGGGTGCTGCGGTTGAGAGAGCCCGAGACCTTTCGCTCGCCGCCGGATGACATGGCGGGGATGCGTTTGGATGAATTAATAAATCATTATACAGTAAGCTCAATGGCCGCGAGTTGCTTCGCCTGCATGTGCCTGGCGTTCGTCACTAGCTGCCAGGAAGCAAGCTTGTGTGTTCCAGGGTTAGCGTTGGCTGGCTGGCCCGAGCGCAGGAAAAAGTTCTAGCTGGAAAGCGCACTGCTCGAGCTTGCGACAACTCCCATCGCGACTTCCCACACCACGTCCAAATTCACCACGGAGGGTAGCTGCGTTTCGCGATCGCCATTGGACCTACCCCACGACCGAAATCAGCAAAATGGGTCTTTTTATCCTCTCGGAGACTTCGGCGGGTTACGTCCTGTTGAAGTCCAAGGACAAGAAGCTTCTCAGCGGAGAGAACAAGAACTCCTCTAGCATTGTCGAGGAGCTCAAGCTCAAGAAGTTCGCCAAGTTCGGCAGCGCAGTAGACGCTCTCGAGCAGGCCGCCGCGCTCCACGATGGAAAAGTCACGCCCATGCTGTCGTCTCTTTTGGAGGATTTGAAGGACGAGACCAAGGCTACATGTACGAACATCCTGAGATTGCGCAGTGAACATGGCAGCTAACACATTCAAGTGGCCGTCGCCGACCCCAAGCTCTCCAACTCGATTGCGCAACTCCCCGGTCTCTCCCTCAAGACCGTATCAGACTCTTCTACCCAAGATGTATTCCGTGCCATCCGCGAAAACCTGACCTCGCTCCTTCCCGATCTTCTCCCATCTGAGGAAGCCGCGACCAGACTCGGTCTTGCCCACTCCCTGTCGCGACACAAGTTGCGCTTCTCGCCCGACAAGGTCGATACCATGATTATCCAGTCCATCGCATCGCTCGATGTGCTCGACAAGCAGCTCAACACCTACGCCATGCGTGTCAAGGAATGGTACGGCTGGCACTTCCCCGAGCTCGCCAAGAGTAAGTTCTAGTCCTCAGACGCCTGTTACTTTGAACCCGTTGCTGACTTTAGCGACAGTTCTCAATGACAACCTTGCCTACTCTCGTGTAGTCCTTAAGATGGGCTTCCGAACCAAGGCGCGTGAGAGCGACCTCTCCGAGATTCTTCCCGAGGAGATTGAGGCGGCTGTCAAGGCGGCTGCAGAAATCTCCATGGGTACCGAGATCACAGAGGAGGATCTGGAGGCGACCTCAGCTCTTGCCGAGCAGGTTGTTGACCTCACCGAGCACCGTCAAAGCCTCGGCGCCTACCTCTCCAACCGCATGCAGGCGCTCGCTCCTAACCTTACTGCTCTCGTTGGCGAGCTTGTCGGTGCGCGCCTTATCGCCCACGCTGGATCTCTCATGAACCTCGCCAAGTCGCCTGGTTCCACCATCCAGATTCTCGGTGCCGAGAAGGCTCTTTTCCGCGCTCTCAAGACCAAGCACGACACACCCAAGTACGGTGTAAGTATTTCTCTCCCCCAGGCGTAATCTCAGTACTAACTCTCCCAGCTTATCTACCACGCATCCCTTATCGGTCAGGCCACCGGAAAGAACAAGGGCAAGATCGCCCGTATGCTCGCCGCCAAGTCCGCCCTGGGTCTCCGTGTCGACGCCCTCAGCACCTGGGGTGTATCGTCCGAGGACACCTCCAAAGAGCCTACTGAAGAGGAGAAGTCGCAGCTCGGTCGCGACGCACGCCTCACCATCGAGAGGAGACTACGCGCCCTCGAGGGCAAGCCGCTCAAGAGCATTCCTTCCGGCAACGCCAACGCGACAACACTTGGACAAAAGAAGTGGGAAGTCAAGGAGGCACGGAAGTACAACCCAGACGCCGATGGCCTTACTGGTGACGAGCCAGCCGCCGATGCGCCTGCACCCAAGAAGTCGAAGTCAGACAAGACCAACGGCACACCCAAGAAGCTGGTACAGGAGGTCGACAGCGACGAGGAGATGGCCGACGCCAAGGACTCATCAGACTCCGAGTCGGAAGACAAGCCCGCCGCCAAGGGCGACAAAGCCGCAAAGAAGGCAGAGAAGGAAGCCAAAAAGGCACGAAAGGCAGAGCGCGCCGCAAAGCGCGAAGCCAAGGAAGCAAAGAAGGCCGCCAAGGAGGCAAAGAAGTCCAGCAAGGACAGCAGCAAGAAGCGGAAAGCCGACGATGGCGACGAGAAGGTTGAGAAGAAGAAAAAGAAGAAGAGCAAGGACTAGATGCTGTCGCGACCCCCCACACGGAGACACTTCTGTATCTGTAGCCAGTGTTCTTACAAAAGAGGGTACGGCGTTGTTATGGGTTTGAGCTTGCTTTGTTCCAGGCGAGTGGCGTACGAGGGTTCGGCATCTTGTAGTTCTATGTTTCAAAGTCCTCCTTTTACGCTTGCATGATGGGGATGCGGTGGATGGATACCCGCCAGTTGGTAGCATACAATCACATGTTCATAAACTTCAGTTGTGTTGTCTTGTACTGCTGATGTGTCCTGACTGGTATTTCGTTAATTGACCTCCATGCTGTTAACTTTCCCGCCGCAATCGGTGTAGTGACAATATCTTTCCTTACGCCATCATGAACCGCTCCTCAATTCCCTCCTTGTCGCTACATCAACTCATCCTCCATCACAGGCTCAAACCTTCCGCTTAACCTTCTTCCTCTTCTTATTAGCACCCAACAGCTTATTCGCAATCTTCGGCATCTCCATATCCTCCACGCCCTCCGGAATAACCC